GACAGGAAAAAGATTCTGGAAAAGTGGAATGAATGAGCTCTCTTCAGCACATACATAAGTAAATAAACAACTACACTAACTACAAAAACAGAGAAAAGATTCAAGTAAAATCAGAAATGAAAGTGTAAACAGAAAAATAAAAAATGGTTCTTAGAGACTATTATAAACAACTGATAGCCAACACGTGGATTAACTTAGTGGACATAGTTTTCTTGTCGAGACAACTTACCAAATATAAACTAAGAAGAAACTGAAAGCTGACCAGACTAGTATCAGAAAAAGGAGCCAAATATAGGCATGGTAGTGCATGCATTTATCCTAGCACTCAGGAGACAGAGGCGGTCAGATGTCTGTGAGATCAAGGCTAGCCTGGTCTACATAGTAACTTTCAGACCAGAGGGGTCTACAGGGAAACCCTAACTCAAAAACAAACAAAAAATTAAAAACCTGGGCCAGAGACTGGGAATGTGCTCTGTAAGGCTGGTGTGGTTCAAGTACAGTGCTCTTTTTTAAAAAAATTTAATTTCCGTTGCATTTCTTTCTTTTTAAATAATTTATTGAGAAGGTACAGTGTTCTTTATTGATTTTCTACCTGCCTCTTTTTCTGTCTCATCTGTTTCCAGAACAGCCATAACATGTGTGCTGTTTTCTGAAAGCTGTCCCATTAATCAGTAGTCTTTGTTTACTCCTTTGTCCTCTATCTTTGATATGACACTTTCAAAGGAGCTTACTTCAAATTCATAGGTGACTTTTTCTACTTGATTGTGTCTGCTGTCAAACCTTCCTATTACAATACGGAGTTCATTCACTGAATTATTCAACAACAATATTTCTGTGTAGTTCTTTTTCATGGTACATGTTGCATTATTGTTTCTCGTTTATTTCATTGTTAATTTGAATTCCTTTACAGACAGTTCGTAGTTCTATTTCTTCAAAGTCAGTTACTAGAGTGTTATGATGTTCCTTTGACTGGGACATGTTTCTTGCTTTTTCATGGCATTTGTGTCCCTGTGTTAATGTCTGCATGTTTATACAATAGTCATCTGTTCAAAATTTTCAGGTTAGGAACTATGGGAAAAGACTTATACATTGGATGGAAGGGTGTCACTTGGTCAGGTGCAGTGGCTCTGGTTCTAGGTAGACACCGTGGTGTAGTCTTCACGCAGCTCTGTCATGTTGGCCAAGTCTGAAGGTGTTTCAGTGGCCTGAACTGAGGGTTGTGTGGCAGCAGCAGTAGCAGTACAGCTAGTGAGCATCCTCAATGGTTGAAGGATTTGGGAGACTTGATGTTTCCATTTTCCCCAGTAAAAGTGCAATATAATTTTCAGGATCATACCTGGATTGGCCTATTGGCAGCCTCAGCAATGCCGTGATCCAGGGCACATGTGCTCAGAGTGTCTGTGGAATCAATGACATGGAAATGAACCATAGTGGCACCTGGAAAAGTTTTTATCCTTTTAATACCGAACATTTGTTTTTTGTCTGGGGATATGCTGTCAGGGAAAGATGGTAGGTTACTAAAGATTGCTGAAAGAAAACCCCTCCATTTCACCTCCTCTTCATGAAAATGAGAAATAACAATCATTATGTGTCTGAAATTAGTCCTATGGTATGAACTGGAAGCAAAATACTTTATGAAAATCCTGTTTCTCTCCCTTTTCTTCTTTGCCTTTCACTGTTCTGTTCTTGGCCCATCCTTGATTTCCGCATCATCACTGTTTATTCTTCCTGCCTCTTTTACATTGACCTCTTCACCTTCCTGATGGTGCAGGCATCTGAGCAGGACAACACTGCAGTCAGGACAGGCAGGAGCAGCACACTGCCTTTATGGATTCAGCAGTCCTGAAGAGCATACAGGAGGTGACCTGCCCCATCTGCCTGGAGCTCCTGAAGGAACCTGTGAGCGCAGACTGTGGCCACAGCTTCTGCCAGGCTTGTATCACATTGAACTATGAGTCCACCAAAGACCAAGAGGGGAAGGGCAGCTGCCCTGTGTGCCGAGTCAGTTACCAGTTTGAGGATCTGAGGCCTATTCGGCATGTGGCCAACATTGTGGAGACTCTCAAGGCGGTCATGCTGAGTCCAGAGGAGAAGCAGACAGTCTACCACTACTGTGCACGCCATGGAGAGAAACTCAAGCTCTTCTGTGAGAAGGACAGGAAGGTCATTTGCTGGCTTTGTGAGCGATCTCAGGAGCACCGTGGTCACCAAACGTTTTTCATTGAAGAGGTGGTCCAGGAGTACAAGGTAAGAAATGAGATGCAGCTAGAAAACAGTATAGACTAGAACCTCATGGGAAGCCTGTACTTTGTGTGAGAATTCAGTACTCTTGCGTTCATGGAATTGAGTCCTGTGATTTCATTCCATCCTCTGTTGCCTTCCCAGGTCTAACAGAACATATGTATGCAACCACATAACTGTAAGACAATATACTAAAACTGTAGGACAAGAGCAAATATTTCTATAGCTTTCCCTATAATGTTGAGATGTTGAGATTTGATGTCCAAGAAAGGCTCTGATTAGTACTTAAGTGTAAGCATAAATGATATTGGTTGAGATTTAAGCCCAGATCATGTTCCTCTATTAGGATTTTTTAAAAATAGGAGTTCAGGCCCACCCACTGTATCTTGATTCCCTTGCAGACTGAGCAGCTCAACTCTGCCTCCTCATCTTGTCCCCCTTCCTGCCTTGGACCCAGGCCATTCCTGATCTCCTGCCTCAGATCTCTGAATTCCCTTCTCAGTCCAGACCTGCCCACTTCTTCCTGATCCCTTGCACCCAGACTAGGTCAGTTCTCCAGCTTTGTATGTTAGACCCTCCACAGTCTGTCCTCCCCCATCTTACCCTTGGTCCCCCTCCTGATCTGCCTACCACAGACTCACCTACTACTCAGACCAGCCTATAACCCTGCAAGAACCTGAAGCATACACCAACTAACTTCTCATGCCTAGCAAAAAGCAACCAAGCTACATCAACAATATAAAAAGAAACAAAATTCAACTAAATGAAGGAGGAATAAAATTTCCTATTGGACACACAACCACCAAAATACAACCACATGCTGAAAGAGCAACACAGAAATACAAATAATATGAAAAACCAAGAGAATGTGTCCCCAACAAAACCCACCAGTCCTAAAGAAGTATACAACAATGAGAATCACCCTGAGGGACCCCCATCACACAAAATTTTAAAAAGCAATCATAAACATTAAGAACTTAAAGAAAATACAGACAACCAACTCAAAGAACGCAAAGAGGATAGGCATAAACTTGAGATGGAAGCTCAAGAGAATACAAGTATGGGGGTGAATAAAATAACAAATACAATTCAGGACTTGAAAAAGGAATTCACAAAAGAGCTAGAAATAATGAAAAAAACCCAAGCTGAAATGAAGACGGAATTGAAAAACTCAGTAAGTCAACTTGAAACAATGGGAGAAATCCTCACAAGCAAAATGAATGAAACAAAAAACAGAATATCAAGACTGGATGACAAAGTTGAAGAACTGGACTACTTAAGCAAAGACAATAAAAAAAAATTAAATCACAGGAATTGAATATGCAGGAAATGAGAAGCACTGTAAAAAAAAAAAGTTAAATAACATAGACAGAGCCTTAGCCCAGTTAACTAAAAGAAAGAAAGAGCAAATCCAAATTAACAAAATCAGAGATGAAAGGGGAAACAACACAACAGACACTAAAAAATCCAGAACATGGTAAGGGAAGACTTTAAAAATCTACAGTCCATTAAATTCAAAAATTTAAAACAAAACTTCTAAGTTAAGCAAAGAAGAGATTAACAGCTTTAACAGACCCATAACAAATAAGGATATTGAACCAGATACAAAACCTCCCAACCAAAAAGAACCCAGACCCAGATGAATTCACAGCAGAACTCTACCAGACATTCAAAGATGATCTATAACCAATACTGGTTAAATTATTCAAAAAGATAGAAACAGCAGGAGAATTCCCAAACTCCTTCTATGAAGCCAGTATCAATCTAACACCAAAATCAGGTAAAGACACAACAAAAAAAGAAAACTATAGGCCCATGTATTAGTCACTTTTCTGTTTACTGTGATAGAAACACTGACCCAGGAAATTTATAGAAGGAAGGGTTTATTTGAGCTTATGGTTCCAGGGGAATTATAGTCCGTCATGACAGGGAGGCATGGTGGCTGGAAGTGGCTGGAACAGGAGCAACAGAAGTGAAGCTCTCACATCATCACACAGGCACAGGAAGCAAGAGAGCGACTGGAGATCCTGCAAGGCTTAAGAACTATCTGAGCCCACCCCCAGTTATGTGCTTCCTCCAGGATAGCCACACCTTCTAAAAACCTCCCAAAACAGCACCATAATCTGGGGACAAAATGTCCAAACACTTGGAGCCTATGGGGGACATTTTCATCCAAACTATCACATCCTACCCCCTGGCCCCCATAGGCTCATGACCATAAAAAATGCAAAATGCATTTAGTCCAACTTTAAAAGTCCCCATAGTCTTTATCAGTCTCAATACTATTTAAAAGTCCACAGTCCAGTCTTTTCTGAGACCCAGGTAGATATCTTAACTGTAAGCCTCCATAAAATCAAAAGACAAATTACATACTCCCAACATACAGTGGAACCAAATACACATTACCATTCCAAAAGGGAGGAATAGAAGCACAGTAAGGAAATACCAGATGCATAGTAAGGAAATACTGGACCAAAACAAGACTGAAAACTAGCAGGGCAAAAACCAAATCCAGTGTCTCCATGTCCAGCTTCTGGGACTTTACTTCCAAAGGGCTTAGATGGCTCAGCCTCTCTAGCTTTGCTGTGTGCAACACACATCTCCTCTTGTACTGGTCCCACTCCCTGTGTGCAGGTCTTCTTGGCAGATGCCTCACAGCTCTGGCATCATGAACTTCTTGGGGTTCTCCACTGCCAACCAGGCTTCACCTTCACAGGTTCACGCAATGGCCTAGGCAGGGGAATCCCAGCTTCACGCTGCCTGGCTTCCGAGGCTCTCTGAAACCACAGAGGAAGAACTGATGACCCCGTCACTCTTGCATCTTTCATGCCTCTAAAGCCAGTGCCAGGTGAACAACACTGCCAAGTTTGAATGCAAGTTTGGGATGGACTCCAGCCTGCTTTATCCATTTTAGAAGCTTTTCTCTTCCGTGGCCCCTGCAGCATTTTCCTTTCACAAGTTAGAGGTTTAACTGGGTGTGGACTTGCCCTGGAGGCATTCTCCCCATTGTTTAAGTTTGAATCTCTAGGTCCCTCCTTAATCACTTTAATCTCCTTAATCACTTTAATCTCTTTATCAATGGGATCCTCTCCATCATATGCCAGGGCTCCAACATTTATCTTCCTAATGCTTTTGTTCAATTCAAACTGTATATCTTTCTGTCCCATTTGCTGTCTTTCACTGGAGATCTGCATAATATTCACCATTAATATCCATGCCACCATTTCTACATTAGGCTGTCTTGAAATTTCTTCCACCAAAGAAATTAGTCCATTACATTTCAACTTAGTTAGCCTCAGGCAAGCTTCTTGGCTGTGGGCAGACTCCAGCTAGACTCTTGTATAGAATATCCCAATTGCTGCTTAAGTCCTTATTTCCCTCTGTAACTACACTGTTCTCAGCACTACTTTCTTCCAGGCCCCTACTAGAATGGCCTGTTAAGTTCCTCTTACAGCAGTCAACTGCTTTTCTAGCCCAACCTTCCAAAGTCTTCCACAGTCCTCCAAAACCCCACATGGTCAGGTTCTTCACAGTCAACAGCTCACTCTCTGGTACCAATTACTATATTAGTCACTTTTCTGTTGCTGTGACAGAAACACTGACCCAAGAAATTTATAGAAGGAAGGGTTTATTTGAGCTTACAGTTCCAAGGGAATTACAGTCTGTCATGATAGGGAAGCATGGTGGCTGGAGGTGGCTAGAACAGGAGCAGCAGAAGTGAAGCTCTCACATCATCACGCAGGCACAAGAAGCAAGAGACTGACTAGAGGTCTGCCAAGGCTTAAGAACCCTGTAAGCCAACCCCCAGTGATATGATTCCTCCAGGATAGCCACACCTTCTAAAACCTCCCAAAACAGCACCATCATCTGGGGATAAAATGTCCAAACACTTGGAGCCTATGGGGGACATTTTCATTCAAAGCATCACAGCCTATATCCTTAATAACAATAGGTACAAAGATTTTCAACAAAATACTCGCTAACTGCTTATAGACACACATCCAAAAATCTGATCAAGTTGGCATTACTGTAGAGATGCAGGAATGGTACAGTATACATAAGTCAATAAATGTAATAAATCTTATAAGTGAACTTAAAGACCATGACCACAGGGTCTTCTCAATAGAGGTAGAAAAGGCCTTTGACAAAATCCAACATGCATTCATGTTAAAAGTCCTAGAAGGAACTGAACTGGAGGGACCATACCTCAACATAATTAAGGTTATATACAACAGCCAGCATCATTCTAAATGGGGAAAAACTGGAAGCATTCCTATGAAAATCAGGAACCACACAAGGCTGTCCACTGTCTCCACTCCTTTTCAATAGAGTGCTTGAAACCCTTGCAAGAGCAAGAAGACAAGAGAAGGAAATTAAAGGAGTACTAATTGTAGAAGAAGATGTCAAATTATCACTATTTAAAGATGATATGCGATCCCAAAAATTCCACCAGGAAAATACTAGAAATGATTTATACTTTCAGTAAAGTGGCAGGTTAGAAAATCAACTTACAAAAATCAGTAGCCTTTCTTTGCACCAATAACAGTCAATCTAAGAGAGAATTCATGGAAAACCTCCCATTCACAGTAGCCCCCCACCATTAAAATTTTGAGAATAAACCTAACCAAAGACATTAAAGATCTCTACAACGGAAATTTTAACAACTTTAAAATTTTTTATATATCTTTTTTTTCACATATATGAGTGTATTTCCTGCATGTAGATAAATGTACCTGTGCCCTGCAGTGTCCATGGAGATCAGAGGTGGGCATCATATCCTCTGGAAATGGAGTTATGGATGGTTGTTAGCCTTCATGTGAGTGCTGGGATTTGTACCTGGGACCTCTGCAAAAGTAACCAGTGCTTTTAACCACTGAACAATCTGTTCAATCCTCAGAAAATTTTTAATCTTTAAATAAGAGATAGAGGAAGACACCAGGAGATGCAAGGACCTACCATGTTCATGAACTGGTAGAATTAATATTGTGAAAAAGGATGATCCTACC